TAGGCAGCCATCAAAAATGATGAGTTTGTGTCCTTTGTAGGGACATGGATGAACCTGGAAACCATCATTCTCAGGAAACTGACACAAGAGTAGAAAATCAAACACTGCATGTTCTCACTCATAGGTCGGTGTTGAACAATGAGAACACATGGACACAGGGAGGGCAGCACTACACGCTGGGGTCTGTTGGGGGGAAGTAGGGGAGGGACACCAGGGGGTGGGGAGTTGGGGAGAGATAGCAAGGGGAGAAATGCCAGATATAGGTGAAGGGGAGGAAGGCAGCAAATCACACTGCCATGTGTGTACCTATGCAACAATCTTGCATGTTCTTCTCATGTACCCCAAAACCTAAAATGCAATAAAAAAAAAGAATGGTCACAGAGCTGAGGCAGTGGGTTCCCAAACAACTGCAGGTTTTGAGGCTGCTAGACAGCCATCCCAAAGACATTGGATGTGACATTTTTCCATATGACCTCTAAGCATAGGGAATTATTCAATTCTTTGCTATCGTAAACAGTGCTGCAATGAACATTCGTGTGCATGTGTCCTTATAGTAGAATGATTTATAATCCTTTGGATATATACCCAGTAATGAGATTGCTGGGTCAAATGGAATTTCTATTTCTAGGTCCTTGAGGAATCGCCACACTGTCTTCCACAATGGTTGAACTAATTTACACTCCCACCAACAGTGTAAAAGTGTTCCTATTTCTCCACATCCTCTCCAGCATCTGTTGTCTCCAGATTTTTAATAATCACCATTCTAACTGGCGTGAGATGATATCTCAATGTAGTTTTGATTTGCATTTCTCTGATGACCAGTGATGATGAGCATTTTTTCATATGTTTGTTGGCCTCATGTATGTCTTCTTTTGTAAAGTGTCTGTTCATATCCTTCACCCACTTTTGAATGGGCTTGTTTTTTTTCTTGTAAATCTGTTTTAGTTCTTTGTCAACACTCACATTGTCAACGCTCACATTGTATGACAGTGAGAAGAACATCAAGCTTCAGGAATTTATCATGCAAAATGTTTTGTCAATTACCCTTGAAAAAGATGGCAGCAGACCTCCTCCTCTCCCCTGAATTATGTTGCATCCCAGCAGACAGAAATAGTTATTAATTTTTAATATTATCTGTTCTGAGTGAAGAGTATAATAAATGTTCTTCGGTATATTCTTGTAGAGTTTGAAATCGTAGAAATGCTAAGATCTCAGGGCATCTATGCTCATCCAGAAAACACTGATGAGCCTTTAAGTTCCTGGAGGGGGGTATGTACCAAAAGTAAGAGTAAGTATTAAATTACCTGCAACATCAATTCTAATCATAACAACTACTAATATGTGCACAATGCTTTCCTGTTTAGATAATATTTTCCCATATATCTGAGGCTGAGTAAATCATACTGTGCTGGAGTTTGTGAAATACAGAGAACTGTGTGCCAGAAATAAAGGTAGCATCTCTGTCCTTATTGATGCTAACAGTTTCATTGGATTACAAAGACATCATCACACTAAAAATAAACTATTTATCCTCAAAAGAGTAGTAGTAAGTATCTGACAAGTAATATATTTAAGTGTCAGAATGTGAAAGAAGGAAAATGTAATTATTCTGGACTTGAGTATTCAAAATAGTTAATATTGCTTAGGTGCGGAAGTACTTTCCAGAAAAATCACGAGTGTTCCAGGAAGTTGAAACCTAGTTACATTCTGGCCATTTTCCTGACCTCCTGTCATCACCTCAGTGTACCTGATCCAGGTCTTTGAGCAGAGCCTGAGGGCTTTTCTTTAGGACAATCAGCTGAGTGCTAGAGTCCGATACCTTCTTGGCCGTTTCTGGAAGTAGGCTCTTTTAGCAATTCAAGAGCAGAGGGTTGTGTCCAGTGAGCCTCTACCACTCTTAGCAAAATATTTTACCTGCATCAAAAACATCCACGTTTAAAACTTTGCTTAAGTCTAGGTGTGGAAAATACCAAGCTTTAATAATGGAAGATTAAAGGAGCTATTGATCCAGGCAGACAACTAAGTACATCCATTCACTCAGCAAATACTTACTGAACACTTAGAATGTATCTGGCACTGGGTACTTATATTTGTTGTTGAGGTTTGGAGGAAAACCTAGTATTTGATTCTGAATATAGTCCAGAAGAAATTCATATAATTTGGCCATAGTAGGAACAAAGAAATTCATTTTTTCCAAAACCTGGGTGATGAATATCAAGTGACTAAAACCACCGAAACGTAAAGTAACTTAGTCAGTCAATAGATGGCTAGTTTCAGGGCCAGACGTTAGAACCCAGATCATTCTATTTTTTGCCAATTTGTGCTACGCAAGGGTCCTGTGAAGACACTTCCATCGCCTTCGCCTTATTGAAACTTTCAATTCTCTTCTCTGAAAGAAACTGTGAAAAACATCCGTCAGGACAAATGTAATCATTTATTGTTGTTATATTCTGAGACTGTAAGTTCTTCATCATCTTATATTTATTCTTCAATGCAATGAACTTGAGTAACTTGGTAAACATCTGCAATGCTTCACAAGCTATTAAAATGGCCTTAACAATGCTATTAAGGCTGTGTTGCCCAATATGATAGCCACTAGCCACATGTGGTTATATTGATTTAAATTTAAATTACATAACATTTTTATTCAGTTTCTCAGTTACATGAGTCACATTTTATGTGTTCAATAGCCACATGTAGCTGGTGGCTACCATGTTGAACGGTTCAATTATAGAACATTTCCATCATTGCAAAAACTCTATTGCAAAGTGCTGTAGTATATTAAGGCAATGAACCTACTTTCCACCTGGCACCTCAAAGAATGAATTAACTTGCAAAGTGCATTTGTTCAACATTTCTGCCATGAATAATAAGATATTAACATAAGGATATGAAGGAAGAGAGATTTTACTGAGAATACAAGACAGATACAATCGTCCTGTGTTCTTCTTCTTCCCTGCTTGCAAAACTAGATGCTTAAATAGCATTATTTGAATGCTTCAGATGCTCAAATGTTTCTCTCCATATGATCATAGTTTGAAAGATTTTTCATAAGTCCCATGAAATTGTTTCTGTTGAAATCGCATCAGTATTCACTATAGCACTCACTCCATTGTACATATGTTACATATAAAACAAATAATATGTCTTAAAGAAAATACAAGTGATTATTTGAGAAGGAAAGTTATTTCCAAGTGAGTATTCAAATGAAAAACCATAAAAGACCGTAGTTTTAACTATACCATTAAATTAAGCACATCTTTTTTTCCCAGATTATTTTGGAGAAAATCAAGGAAACATTATATATAACGTTATATATATAATTGTATTTTTATATAATAGCATTTATAGTAGTGAAAAAATTTTAAAACCTAAATTGCTATCAATACAATACTACCAAACAAAATAATCATTTCCACACAAGGCGATATAACAATCAAAAATGTAGTCTTCTCCCAGGCAGGAACAGTATGATTTTATATAAGGAAGACAAAAAGGAAAAATAAACACAAAGGTATTAATGTTGGTACTTCTGCTCAGTAGTGTTTTTGGTGTCTGCTATTCTCTCTCTCTTTCTTGTCTGTCTTTGCCAATTGTCTTTTCTATATTGAATATGTATAACCATTACAGTGGAAATGTATGGAATATCCTTTTAATTAAACAAGCAACAACTTTTTTTCTACCTGGATGCCATTACTGTACAGAGTTTAAAGTATGAATGCATGAGCAAATACATAAACACAGAAATAAGTGTAACGAACTTTTCTAACACACTTGTAATTATTTTATTTCAATACTTTCGAGACATTTCTAGTAAATAACATAGAGTTTGTTTTTCAACTTTTTATGCAAACAAATCTGTAAGGAATCAAGCTTCGCTTAGTTATTAGCTTTGATTATTAGTATAAAAGGGCCAAGAAAAAGAGCATGAGTCTAGAACTAAGAAATGGAACCCAGGATATATAGATTTATACTATATTAATGTGTCCTGATAGTTATAGAACTATTCTCACAGTTTGAGTTTTAATTAATTTTTTTAAAAACCTTACAAGTTGAAACTTAAATGAATCAATAACGCTAAACAAAGCAGTCTGCATTTCTATTAGTCTGGTTACCAGCTTCTTCTAACTCTTTAAAAAAAAATTTACTGTTCAAACTATAGGCAAAGTGAATTTTCTAAAGGACATCATTTTTAAAGAAACTGAAAAAATGTAAATTTTTCTCTTCTTTCATTTGGACCTTAATGAGATCAGGTTGACATGATTACTACAAATATGGCAGGGAAAAAAGAATAGACGAAGGGGCAGTGAGGGGAGGAAAAGTTCTACACTATTTCAGTGGAGTAAAGATCAAGTTCATTTTAATATAATTTTTAATGGTTGTTCAAACTCCTATGATGTACCCACACAAAAGGCTTCAGTTAATGTGTGTGTATTTTGAGCAGTCCCCCTCTTTGACCCTCGAGTTTAATTTCCGTCCTTCAGATGAGATGAATGGACCATCAAGCAGGTCATATCTCAATGCTGACACATGGGTTGCAGATAGAACTCACAGCCTGGAGAAGCAGCCAGTTTGGAGATTAAATCAAAGCAGCTCTGAATAGATGGGAGGTCAGCCAGGGCCAGCTTTGACATTTGATAGGACCTTGTGATCCATCAGGCCTTTCTTCACTCTTCCAGGCGTCCTTATGACAGTGGCCCTAAAAAAAACAGATGGGATATGTTACAAAGTGCAGGAGAAGCACTACATTGTGAAGCAGATAGGTGTCAATATTATCAAAGGGACAACTGTTATTGGAAGCAGCCAGCAAATCAGAAGGTCCTGCTTTGCTGCAATTGCTCTGTTAACGTGTGCCTTTCATGATGTGAAATCTGAGCCTTGGGAATGGTGATATCGTTTTTAAACTGCTTTTAAAAATTCCTTACCTCCTGTGTAAACTTCAAACATTCCTGATGTCATAAGATTAAATTGTAGCCAACATTCAGTCTGTGAATAAACTGTTTCCAACAAGGTAAGGCTTAGTTTGTGCTGTTTGTTTCTTTGCCTTCTAGAGAAGAGACGCAGACACATACACGTACACACAGACACACGCACACACACCACAGGACATGATAACCTTTGGAAGAGAAGAATTAAGGGATGTTAATGCAGAGCACTTGCTGGGCAGGGACCTATGCGTGGTTTCAGGAAATCCCAGTCACGTCGCCAAGAAGGTCATGAAAAATGAATGGCCCCCAAGCACCACTGTAACAGACTGTTTTAGTGAGTGGTAATGGGCCATCTCTAGAATGAAAGGCTGTGTATTTATAACTGTGCAGGCCACCGGGTATCACACCATTCATTATGCCTGCCTGATTTAAGGGAGATGCCTTTTCCAGGGGTGACATGGGAGCAAATTATTTCCAGGAATATCACAGCTCTCTTCTCCGCCTCCACCTACCTCTCTGTATGGCTCACCTCATCTGAGCAGTAAAACACACTCTCATGGTCACACAAGCACATTCTCTGAATTTTTGCTGTCATAGAGCATTTCATAACTAGAGCTTTTCCCTCCAAAACATCTTATCCCAACTTGTATTGGGATGGGTGAGCTGGAGTGAGGGAGCCTTGCCTAAGGAAGGCTTAGATGAGGAGCGAGACCACATGCTTAGTCTGCTGTCTCTCCTCTATCAGGTGTCTTACTGGGAGGCTGTGGGCTGAGGTCGAGGACATGATAGACAATTATTGGACTAATTTGCAAAGCAAATTTCTGAAGTACGATTTTTTGCTTGATATGGATTCCATCTTCACAGAGAAGGCAGCATTTGATTCACATTTTGTTTCTTGTTTACAGTCATCAGTAGCTGCAAAATTACCCAACCTCTCAGGACTTTTTCTGATGAGAAATTAACCAACTGCACAAAATTTTATCTAACTCACTTTCCAACATGAGTGCTTTAGGAATGCTTGAAATTCTAAGAAGATACACACATGGAACAACCACAAATTCCAACCAGCGTATCAGATGTTGTGAAAATTAATTATTAAGAATAACTAATCTCAGGAAACCTGTTGATGTAGCTATCTCACTTAATATAAATGTGCAAAGTCTCATAACAAGAGTATTTGAATCTGTCAGAAGAGGTATCATAAGGTAATTTGTTTTTAATAAGGAATTTACGTCATTTTAGGTGTTACATAAAAAAAAAAATAAGCTTTATACTTCACACTGGTCTAGTGAGGAAAAGAGAGATATACTGGCTTTCAACCGAGTTAACTCAGCTGCCATTTTAATATAGCTATAATACATCAGTGGTTAAAATAAGATTTCTACAACAGAGTTTTCATGCTCTGTGTCACAGGCTTTTTTGAAGTGATGGTACAGTTATTTTGATCAAACTTTCCAGAGAGGGTCCTTTGGATTATCAAATGTGTGTGTGTATTTAATTTACGTAAATTGTGCCCTGATTTTGGCCCCCAAGAGCTCACATGTTTGTAAGATTTTAGAGACTATTTACAGAGAAGCACTTTTTTTCTGAATAATTTTGTCATTGAAATGTGGCACAAATCTTTCAAAATGGTAATTCTCCCCAACAAGCTAATCCTTCAAGAGGTTTTTTTTTATGTCTCACAGAAAGCTGTGTGTAATCAAAAGACTCCACAAAATACATGTTGGTTTGAGTCACTCTCTATAATTCCATTTAACTATTGCCAACTCCAAACACAGCCACAATTTTCTTGTATCTTACGCACATCAGATAAAGAATGCAAAAACAATTGGCTGTTAGCAGTTGAGAACCCAAAGGAGGAAGGAAAAAAGCTTTGCTGGTGTTTTTCAATTAATTTCTTTTCAAGTGAAAGTTTGAAAAGAAAAAACAAGAAAACTGGAAGTGACCTAAAAACTCTGGTGTGATAAGATAAATTTTGGCCTGAACATCACCCTGTTTCCCTGAATACACAGTCTACGTAAGAGAAGCATGACCAGGAAAACATGAAATGTATTTTCAACAATTTGTAAAATCATGCTGAAACTTTAAGAAATACAAAGGATTCAATTTTGAAGAAATTAAGTTTGTTGGAAAATTAGTGAGGGATGAAAGCAAATAAAAATAAACAAGAACTTTGACCAAAATTTTCTTTTTCAAAATTGTGCTAATGCTAAATTCTTTTTTAATCCGCTTTCTCAAATAGAACAAAGACATTTATTAATATCAGGAATTTCACAGTATTTTATATTTCATGTGCTTTTGAAATAACCAACAAATGAGTCAATGGCGTTTGTCAGAATGACCTGAATGCATAAAGCATTTAGTGAATGCTCTGGTTTCTAACAGTTTACCAAACATGCTAGTGTTGTAATCCAGCAAGTGCGAAATCACCAGAGACAAAGACTAGGCCAAATTACAAGGTCTTTATTGCTGGCGACCACGGAGGAGGACTCAGGTCTCTCTAACCCATGACCCCGAAAGGAGGGCGTCAAGACCTTTTATGCTTATAAATGACCTCCTGGGCGGGGGTGAGGGTGAGAGCCTTCGGATATTCCAAGGGCCAGGGGTGTTCGGACCTTCCAATTGTTACTTAAGTGGTTTACAGAAGTCAAGAAAAGCGTAGTTTACACATTGTCTGGGTAGGGTGGAAATTACAGACCTTAGTTACTTATTACAAGTCGCAGGGGCCAAGATGGCGTGGGTTTGGACTGCTCGCCTGTCACATTAGGGTTACAGAGAGCAGTTTTAATGGAAAAGCCAAGGTATGGTCGAGGTATGCAGTTTATGGCTCATCTACCATGTCATACCAGCCCCTGTTTTCTCTTAGTGAGAAACAGAGTGATAGCCTTAGCCAAAGGCATAGCCAGGGAGCTTTTGTTCCACTCATCCAAATGCCTCTTGAAACCCTCTGATTTCTCTCTTAGAATTCATGTACTGCCGATCCTGAAAAATCAATGTAACTGACCACTTCAAGTATCTCCCACATTCTGAATAACATTTAACATCACCCAAAGTTTTCTTAGAAGCAGAGGCTATATAAGCTGATGATAGAGATTATTTCAGGTTGGGAATTCACTTCTGTCTTTAAAAGTGTCCTGGGCTCAACGTGACAAAAAAAGGCTTTTCTGGATTCAAAACCCCTCACAGGCTGCAGCCAGGAGGAAATGAAATGGGCATGCGCAGGTCTGTTTGTAACCACTGAGCCAGGGAGTGAATCCACCCCTCACAGCTTATTAATTCATGCAAAGAGGCACAGGACATCTTCTCTGCCTGAAATAATTACGAGCTCAGGACTTTCTTGAAGATAGGCAGACCTGGGTTTAAATCTCAGATCCATCCCCACCAACGTATGACATTGGCAACTCTCTTTAAAGGAGGAGTAATAATGATTCCTAATTCAAACAGTTGATATGAGAATTGTCTAAAAGATTACGGAAAGCAAGTTTCAAAGTTCCTCATACCGATAAGCATTCCGTAAAGGTAAGTTATTATTATATGTAAATCTACCTATGTTATCTTTGAGCATTGTAACCTTGGATAATTCCAAGGACCAAGGGAACATCATGCCCTCATGCCATTTTAAGCTATCATTTTGTTATTAAAGAGTTAATTAAAAGATCAGTCAAGACAGTGGAGAGGTAGGAGACCAGACTAGAGGTTGGCACTCTCTAAATAGTGACTAAAAGATTCACTGGCAATGTCATCCTCTTAAAGACAGTGAAATTGCCTTTTCACAAAATGTTGAATAATAGTAATTAGAACATTATAGCATAGCGTGCCCTCTAGAATATGAATGTATTTTTATCTATTTCTGCATAACAAATTATCTCAACATTTAGAGACTGAAAATAGCAAACAAGAATTTTGCAAAAGTTTCTGTAGCTCACGAATCCAGGAGCAGCTGAGCTGTGTAGTTCAGCACAGGTTCTCTAGTAGGCTACAATCAAGGTTTTGGCTCAGGCTATGCTTGTCTCAAGGATATCTGCTTCCAAGCCCATGTATACAGCTATGGGAAGGTCTCAGAAAGGCTACTTTCAAGTCCACTACCTGGGAGTTGCTACAGGGCTGCCATATGCTTTATGGCATAGCAGCTGGCTCCCCCAGGATGAGTCATTCAAAATGGAGTGAGGGAGAACCTCCAAGATGAAAACTGCAGCCTTTTAGAACTTAATCCCTCAATTACTATCCTGTCACTTCTGCAGTATCCTGCTTGTTATATGTGCGTCAATAAGCCCAGCCCCCACTCAACAAGAAGGTATTACAAAAGCATGTGAACACCAGAAGGCAGAGATCACTGGGAGCCACTGTAGAGGCTGCCCACCGAAGAGTACTCTGGTCCCCAGTGATTTATGTACCTCTCAAATGCAAAATGTACTCACTGCCCTTAAAGATCTCAAAATTCTCATTTCATTGCAATATCGGTTTAAAGTCCATGATCTCATTATCTAAACCAGGGCCAAGTATGAATGTGTTTTCTCAAGTGTAGTTCTTTAAGCACAACTCTTCAAGTACAATTCTTTCTTATTTGTAAACCTGTAAAACAAAAGAGAAAATTACGTCTCTATGAAATAGTGGAACAGATATAAGATAAGCACTTATGACCCTGTTCAAAGGAGGGGTGGGGGATGGAAGACATAGGGTTACGGGTCCATGGCAGTTCTAAAATTCAGCCAGGCAAATGTGGGAAGATCTTTGATTAGGTCTCACATCTGAAATAATTATTCATGTTTCTCCACTCTGCCCCTGAACGCTTGGTTTCACCCTCTTAGTCTTCCTTCTGGTTTTGCAAAATATAGTGGGTGCTAAAATTCTGGACATTCAAAAGTCCTGTCTTCATTCTGTACTGCTCTGTACTGTCCCATTCCATCCAAGCGGTAATGTTTCTGTATCTATTTTGAGAACTTCATGGGTTTCCTATGAAACTTCTCCAGACGATATCCACTAGACAAAACCCATACTTACACACCTGTTACAGATAAACTCCCTTCCACCTTGGGCTTCTGCTGAGATGACCAAGGACAATGACCTTTGGCTTAGAAGCTCTACTCTTTAGCTGAGAGAATCTGTGTGGCACACTCTGAATTTACTTAAAGGGCCTTTAGTCTGACTGAAGGTTCTCTGAGGTGCCAGAGAATTGTGAAGATCTTAAAAGATTTACGGCCACACCCTAGACATTAACTCCGTTTTAGCATCTCTGACGTTCTGAATAGTGTGAGAGCTTTCAAAACCATCAAGACCTACCTTATTTTTGTTTAACAGTCCTTCCCTTAGTTTAGCTCTCTCTAATTTCACATTTCACTATAAGCAGCGAGAAAAAAAAAGTAGGTGGTAACTAACTATTCTGCTTGGAAGTCTCAGCTGGATCTAGTTTATCAGGCATATTTTCTATTTTCTACGTTCCTGCAGACAAGCGTATTGTTGAGCTTCTGCCCTTTCTTCCAATTTCCAATAAGATTTTTCTCCCATTCCTTTAAGACTTCACTGCTAGCCTCCTCATAATTCAAAATTCTATGCACAATGGGTTCAAGGTACTTGATCTTTTACCAATATTCTCCTTAAAATTCTCACACAGTTTCCAGCTTCTACACGTTGCCTACTTCCGAAACCAGTCTCATTTTAGATTTGTTATGAGAGCGTTCTATTTCCAGGTTCCAAAATCTGTCAGGAGTTAGAGTTCATTCAGCATTCAGACAAGTAGAGCCACCAGCAAAGTGAATCCGCAACCACGTTCCATTCTTATGTCATTCCATTGAAGACTCACATTTACAGGAAAACATTTTGCTGTCCAAGTCCGGTTCACATGGCCATCCACTCACTGATCAGAAGAAAGACAGTGTAGTTGGACTGATAGTGACACCAAAATGATCCGTGATAAGAATGGTTAGTTTTTCAAAAGAAAGGCGCATGTTACTATCAATTGAAACAGAAAGAGATACTGGTTGGATGAAATAATAGATGCCCACCACCTCTATCAATAGTCTTTGTAACTGGCTGATGGCCTGTTATTTGCAAATAATGGATAGAAAGAGTCCATAGAGTATACCCTTCCCAAAGATGTCAGGGTGATTTACAAAGAAAGATACGATGCTTACTTCTGTTTACAGCTCTGGGCTATCTCCTATATCCAGCTCAGTTCATGCTTTGCTTGGTTTGTAATGTTGCATAGGAGCAGGTAGTAAAATGTAGCACAGGAAAGAAATGTCGTGAACCAAACAGAATGATTAGAAAGACCTCTCTCCCATAGACATGGCCTGAGAGATAAATTACAACTCGGAGACCACACAAAAATCTGAGTGCGTTGTAAACAGGGTAAACATTCGGACTTTGAAATTACCATCAATTTCTTCCTTTTTTATTATCAACATTTCTCTGCCTGTATACTTAAAAAATATTAATTCAGAACATCAATCTTTGCTTTCTCCCAAAAATGTCCTGGGCTATGTGATATTTTCACACAAAGGAGCTATTTTTGGCATTCAAAAATTGCTTTTCTTCCTGCTGGCAAAAAGAATTCACTCACTACCTACTAGTGCATAACACTTATTTTGCTTAAAAAAAAAAGAGGAAAAAGAAAAAGGAGCTTCCTCCAAATGATATAGAAGAAAAGAGAAGATATTACATTTTTAAAAGACAAAATTACTCCTCCTCTTGGAATATTTCTGGAACAGCACCCTGCTGCGGGTCTATTGCTTCAGAGGCTAACAGTTACATAAACCCTCTTTAACAGCTTCTATTCCAGGAATAGCATTGTCTCTGCCTTGAAAGGAACAGGCAATGGAATAATGACTGACTTTAGAGCCACACCCTTATTTATATGCAGGGCTTGTCAAGGGAGAGATTACCCCATTCCTTTTTACTTTTTTGTTTGGATCTTTTTTTTTTTTTCAGTAGAGACGGAGTTTCGACATCTTGGCCAGGCTGGTCATGAACTCCTGACCCTCATGATCCACCCGCCTCGGCCTTCCAAAGTGCTGGGATTACAGGCGTGAGCCACCGCGCCTGGCCTTTTGTTTGGCTCTTACTTCCTTTTTGAATATTTCTAAAGTTTCGCTTCCATATGTGCCTGGGACCCCTATGTTCATACTGAAAATGGAAGGAGAAAATTAGGCTGAGAATTGAAAAATTAAAATTCTCTTTGGTCTATTAACTTACTGGGTGTTCTGAAGCCAATATTTTATTTAAAGAGAGGAAAAAAAGTAAGAACTTTGTAAATAAGTTTTGTACAATTTGATGCTTAAATGGACATTATGGGCCATTATTAAATGATGAACATTTTTAAATAAATGGTTATTTTAATAAACAAAAGTGTCATTTTATTTAATCTCTCCCTTTAAGTTATAGGTTGCATGGTAATTTAGGAAATACCG